TGGTCCCCTGGCCTGACTCCAGAAAGCCACAAAGGCCATGCAGCCTTCTCTCTCCTTTCTGCCTTCAGAATCTGTGAGTCACGGGTTTGTATTTTTAGCAACACATAGGAATCTGCTGCATGAAAAAGGATTGGAGGGGACACTTGCACCATGAACGTAACGAAGGCAATTAATTTGGATCCTACATGCAGGGCTGGACCCAGCATGTAGGGTCGTTCCTTGATCCAGGGAAGAAAGGGGAAAGATGGTCTGGTGTGTTCCGGGGATGCGGGCTGCCCCCGGACGGAGGCACGCCGGGGACAGAGGTACCCGACAGATGAAGACATCCCGGCTGATGGAGACACCGTGGGGTCGGAGGCACCTGGGGCTAGAGCTCCCCTAGGACTTCCCCGGGACAGCAAAGTAGAGCTGCCTGCCCAGATGAGCCGGTATCACGGCCTGGAGCCCTGGGCGTTGTGGACACAGGCCGGGCTCAGGGCTCACCTCTACCACCTGGAGAGGTCAAAGCATGTGGGTTCTTTCCCATCGAGTCCTCTGTTCCGGGCAAGCCACGTGGTCTCCTGGAAGTCCCGCCCACTCCAAGGACAAGTTTCTCCTTCGTGACCACCCTGTGCTGGAGAGATGCTTAGTCCCTACTGCTCTTGGGAAAAGCTGCAACTTTTGACCCTGGCTTCCAAGATCGTAGATCAGTAGATTTCTGATCCCCTCCAACCTTATCACACACACCACATGTCAAGCATGAATGGGTGACACGGGTTCAGTGTCCGTGGGTTTTTTTTTTTTTTTACCACCACCATCCTTAAGGAGGAGGCAGTCTTGTCCAGAAAGAGTCCCAACGTAGAAGTTACAAAGTACCCTTTTTGGGTCTGCCCTGACTGTGGACCCTTGGACGGTTGCTCTAACATTTCTGGGCCTCAGTTTCCCTGTAGTGTCATTTGACAATGTCGTGGATGGACGAGCATGACCCCATCGAGGAAGGGTGAAGCCAGGCGGTACAGGCTTGCCGAGAGGACAGAGTCAACCAAAAGGCGGGAAGGCTCTCTCGTAAGTTAAGGAAGGTGATGCAGGTGAATGCCTGGTTATTCTGTCCCCTGGGGACTTGGCCGCCTGGACCCTGGACGGGACTGGCTTCCTGGGATGAGCTTGTCACTTATAGCAGATCAGCTCCCTTTGCTCCAGGGGCCAGAGCCATGCGGAGGGGTTGGGCCCTTATATGCCCTGGGTCATCGTTTCGGGGTGATTCACCCCTGTCTGGATGCCTCATACTCTCGGGAAGCCCGCGGGATGACCCCGGGGCCCCCACCCCACACGGCCTTGTGCTGAGATGCCCGTCACAGGCAGCAGCAGCATCTGGGCCTGGAGTGTGCTCCAGACCCGAGGCAGAACCCCACAGCCTCTCCCCAAGGAGCAGACCACCAGGAAAGGCTGGCGGTGATCCGGGAGACTCTCCCGGTTACCCCAAAGCCACCAAGTGAGAATCCATTCACTCTGTCACCCAACAGCATTGCGCGTTGCAGGAGATGTCCCGCTTGCATGAACTTGGACCTAAACCCACGAGATGATGAGGCAAGAGCTGAGGGCTGGTCGTCCTGGTTGGCCTCCTCCAACCCAGTAAGTGGCCTGGGACAGAATCCTGGAGTCCTTACTCCCGGCTGTCCCAGGCCACCCTCTCTGGCATCCCGCCAGCCGTCTCATCCCGGTGGTCGACAAAGCCACTGGGCTCTGTCTGGCATGCGTCTCGGCGTCAGCACAGCTATCCCGGACCTGGGCCAGGCCTCTCGGCCTCCTGAACCTGATCGCACAATGGTTCTCCTGTTATTGCCTGCATTAAAAAAAAAAAAAAAAGTGTATCTATAGCACAACAACCTTGAGTACGTTCTTGAGAAAGTGAATGCCCTCGTGAGCCCTCTGCCCAACTCAAGGGTCTCCTCCTGGGCCCCCTCCCCTCCCTGCCTCTCTGCGGCACCCAACCTCTCCTGCTGGCCTGCTTGCCTCTTCTCAGCTGGCTTCCATCTAATCAAGTGAGAGTCCGTGGAGTTAGCCTCTCCCTGGCTCCCCGATCTTCCCGCCGGCTGCCTGTCTCCCTCCACCCACCGCCAGCCTGGGGTCTGGGGACATGCCTCCTTCAGGCCAGGACCCCGGCTGCTTCCCCCATCCGTCCAGCGACCCCTCTCGTGGCACACTTCGCCCACTTGCCGGCCTCTGGGCCATGACCTGAGCACTCCCGGCCCCTTCCCCCCACTTCAGGAGACCGGCCATCCCTTGACAGGTGCCACGAACTGGCTTTTTTAAAGAAAATTATTACTTTAAAAGCAATATCAGAAAGGGGTGTCTGGGCTGCGGGATGGTGGACCACAGGCTCTTTTCCTCTTTCTCCTTGTTATTAAAGAAAGTGAATCCTGTTTCTGACATTCTGTTGGGCCAGTATTCAGCCAACCCGTTCTGAGGAGCCTGGCCCCCCAACCCGACGCTCTTCCATCCCACGAGGACGTCATCCTGCGTCTGGACGGGCTCCCCAGGGGCAGGTGCTGCCCGGGATATGACCACGGGGCTTCTTGAGGAGACACGTCTTTGCCCTCCCCGGGGCCCCCCTGGGGACAGAGAAACGACGCGTGTGAGCGCCTGCTGTACACAGTGGACTGGGCTGGGTGTGGGCCAATTCTCAGCCCGCAAACTGTCCTCAGCCCTGCGACAGACCTGGACCAGACCTCAGGGAGGTGCCCACCAGAAGAGGGGAGGGTAACCTGGAGTGGGGGAGGGGCAATCTGACCAGCGAGGGCAGGAGAGGCTCCAGCTGGAGGTGGCATTTCACGGGTGGGTGTTGTTAAGCTGAGCAGGGACAAGGAAACGTCCAGGCTGAGGTGGAAAAGGGTGAGCGGACAGGGGGCAGGTGGGAGAAGGATCTGGAAAGTGAGTCAAGGTCAGGAGGTGAAGGGTGATGGGCGCCCCGCTAAGAATTTTGCATCAGGGCTCTCTAGTGGAAATCGCTGGGGGCCCGGGCGGGGGACAGGGTTGTGTAAGGAGAGAGCCCATTGCTGGCAGCAGCCCAGGGGACGGGGAGAATGGAGGGGTGGTGGTGGGGCAGGCGCCAACTGGGACAGTCATAACTCAGGGGAAATAACTCAGAAGCAGGAGGGGTGGAGACGGGAGGGGGCAGAAATGCTCAAGAGGCAGAATCCAACGTTGACAGGTGTGCTGGCCAAGGGTGAGAGAGGAGTGTGGGTCACCCCAGGGTTTTGACTTTGGGGAAAGGAGCCAATGCTGTTGTCTTCCTCCCTCCCTCCCTCCCTCTCTCCCTTCCTTCCTTCCTTTCATCCTTCCTTTTTAAAAAATATTTTATTTATTTATTTGACAGAGAGAGGGAGACAGAGAGGGAACACAAGCAGGAGCAGAGGGAGAGGGAGAAGCAGGCTTCCTGCAGAGCAGGGAGCCCGATGCGGGGCTCGATCCCACGACCCCGGGATCACAACCCAAGTCAAAGGCAGATGCTTCACCGACTGGGCCACCCAGGCACCCTGGGGACAGCAAGTTCTGCTCTGAATCTATGGAGTTTGAAGGACTAGGGGGCATCCAGGTGGAAAGGTACAGACCCGAAACCTAGAGAGGTGGGGGTATTTAAAATCATTAAAAACAGGATATCAAAATGTTTAATGACACATCTGTTTAATGCCGTGGAAACAAGTAGCAACGAGCACAGAATAAATAGTAACAGTTATTCGTTGGCGTGGGAAATGTGGTTTATGGGCGCACCAGTACTTGGTTTCCTGGGACAGTGTCTGAGTCGGAGACTTCTGGGTCGGGACGCGCACAGGCTGTTGGAGATGGCTGATGTCTGCCCCTCTCCTCTGCTGGGGTCCCAGTGAGAGTGGATGGGAAAGAGGAACGAAAGGGAAACACACGATGCTGCCTTTGAGGGCCAGCAAATAAAGGGTCTGCTCCCGAGCTTGCCAAGGGCTGGGCCCACTTAGACTCACTTGTACGAACCTGTGTGCTTAGGCTCATGCACGTGCACACGTGCACGTGTGTGTGCAAACAAGAGGGGTGTGGAAGTGGCTGCTTCGAGAAGATTCATGGATGAATGGCAGAGGTCTCTGTCTACCCAATCCCAGCTGGCTTCCTGAAAGAGGGGGCACCCTCCTCTGCCACCCTGTACTTCAGCCCCCTTCCCCCCAAACCCTGCCCTTCTCCCCACTCCGCTGTGCCCAGGAGGTAAGTGTGCTCTGAGAAACAAAAGCCCCTTACCTTTCTCCAGAGATATCTCTGCATGGCCCCCACCACTTAAGGAAGAGCATCATTTCAACCTTGAGGGTTCTGATCCTAATAGCCCCCCTCCCGCCCCCCGCAGCTCAATGGAGCCACAGTCCCAAGTCGGTTCTTGGTCTCAGAGAAGCCATAAGGGCTGGGGGCCAGGTGTCTGCTTCTCTGCACATCAAGGAGAGCATCAGCCCTTTCAGAAAGGTGGCTGGTTTTGTCCAGAGGAGTGTAAGGCTCTCTGAGGTCTGTCTTTCGTCCTTCACTCTCCCATTAACCCTGGGCCGGGGTCGGGGGGGCTCTTCCCCTGACTCCCCCCCCCACTTTAGCCTCCTCTTCTGCATTGTTGTTTTTTTTTTTTTAAAACCTCTGTGCCCAGCTCCCATTATGGAAAGTGCTGTTTATGTCCAGGGCCCCTTAAAAAGGCAGCTAACGGCTCCCTGGCTGCGGTCCTCTCTGCTTGTTTCCCTGGCAACCGGAGGCAGGGAAAACAGAACCTGTCAGATGGAAAATGTCAGTTACAGCAGATCTGGGGAGAGGAAAGAAGGGGTGGGGTGGAGGGAGGGGAGAGGGAAGGAGGGGAGGGGGAGGGGAGGGAGGGCTGGAGGGGACCTCGGTGCTCACCCTGCTGCCACCCCTGGTGGGTGCCCTGGCCCAGGCCAGCTCGTGGGCAGAGAGGCTGGTTTCTGAAGCGAGGGGCTGCCCCCCAGCCCAGAGCAGGGGCCTGGAGGGGTGGAGAGGAGGGGGCGGCCGCCCAACAGCATGAGCAGGATGGATGGAGCTGGAGGCTGCCCTCCCTGCCCTGCCCTGCCCTGCCCAGCTGATTATCACATTGTTTCAGAGGTAACTTGGTGGCTTTGGGCACAGGGCAACGCATCCTAGAATCCCCTCCCGCTGCCCGTTTGAAGCTCAGGAGAGCGGGGAGGTTCAGGGGAGAAGAAAGATATCAGATCTTGGCCGTCCAAAGACCCTGGAATCCGTTCCTCCTGCCCTCTGTATTGATCCCCGGGCTCGCCTTCCATCAGCGGATCAATGCCTCTGCCCGAAAGAGGAGCTGCCCTTTAGAACGGCTGGGAAAGCGGCTCAGGCGGAACATTCTTATTAATCAAAACAGGCCTCTCTCGGAAGGACGGCGGCGGCAAGTGGAAACAAAAGAAGGAGGTTTGCCGAACAGCCTAGAATATTAGGGTGGGAGAAGCCATCAGTTAATGGGACTGGATGCCAATGAGGTGTGTGGGGGCTCCCGAGAGGAGGGAGAGCGCGCGAGAGTGTGTGTGTGGGTGGCGGGCATGCGCGGTCTGCAAGCTCCTGCTGCCGTCCTCAGAAATTCCTGGAGCCTCCCCAATATTCCGATCTCCCAGGAGAAACTCCGCCGCCTCCCCGGGGCCAGCGGACCCAGAGAGAGTGGGGGCGAGACGGGCTGCTGCCCCGGTTGGGTGCTTGCATTGCTGTTCAGATGGGGTCATTTAAAATAAAAAAACAACAGGGGGTGGAGGGGGGTGGCAGGCTCCAAAGAAGGAGGAACCAGGACTGGTTTCTTTTCATTCTGAGAAGCTGAAGCCCCACACAGGGGATCCAGGAAGGGGCCGAGGAGAGTCTCCCCGTCTCGTGCTGGGTTATCTGGGGGAGCCTCCAAGGAGGCTTCGCCCGTCGTCCGTGAGGCTGGACACCAGAAACACTGGGGACGTCCTGCTTCAAGGATGTCTCTCACCCGGGGTGTCTCTGACTGAAAGGACATCGCCTTGTGGCCCAAGGGGTACAGTGTGTCCTTGAGCTCTGGTTGAGCACAGGTGCAAGCTTGACTACACGCGACCCTTTAGTGCCTGGTCTCTCGCAAGCCTCCTCGCCAACAAAACTTCCCAACAGAAGAGAAAACAACACAGCAACACAACAATAACACAACCAGATGTGACTGACACCCCCCCACACCCCCAGACTTGCAGACTGCATGATTTGCTCTAAAGAGTCCGGCTTCAGGCAGCAGCAGGGGAGAAAAAGGGAAATCCGTTATTTTCTGTGTTCTTACATCGCCGATCTCCTCCCGGGGTCTGCCAGGCGTCACCATGCTCCTTTCTTCCTTCTGTTTCCAGGGCTTGCAGGGACACTTCCAGGTGACCGTCCACGTGTCCCTGAAGGTCGAGGAGGAGGCAGATCTGCCTGTGACCGTGTCAATCATAGCTCCATGTGCCCCCTGCACGTGCCTCACTTAAAGACCATATGGACCCTCTCGTCAGGCAGGGACAGACTTAAATTATGACATTTTTCATCTTGATTGACAATTCCCTTCCCCTGGAAGTTGGGGAACGGCCCGGCTATATTACATCTTGCACAATAAAATGAAGGAGATAAAAAGGGGAGTCATTATTTTAGGAATGTGGTCTCTGGGAGATGGCTAAGGACGTCATTTTTATTCCCACTGCTCCTGCGTTTTATTATTTTATTAAGAGTTAACTCTCAATTATCCACATGTGAGTTGAAGAGATGATTTTATTCCCACAGCTGTTAGGTCTTATTATTTTATTATTATTGGTTTGGGTTTGTCCCTGGGCTCCTTTCTGCACTGAAAAGGAGTCCTGACTTCTCACATGTTTTGCAAGTACCCTTATGAATTATGTGCAATGGATGCTTCTAATTTCATTATCGCTTCTTCCTCCTTCTGGGGTGGGTGGCTCTTTCTTTTTTACTGTGGTAAAATACATTTCACAAAATTACCATTTTAACGATTTTAAATACAATTCAGTGGTATTTTAGAACACTCACGATGTGGTGCAGCCATCACCATCACCTGCTTGAAAATGTTTTCATCCCCTCGAGAGGAAACCCCACAAGAAGCAGATACGCCCCATTCCTTCTCATTCTGGTCCTGGCAACCGCTCATGTACTTTCTGTCTCTGCAGATTTCCCGTCTGCACCTGTCATGCACATGGGATCATACAACATGTGGCCTTTGGTGTTTGGCTTCTTACTTCCCATCACGGAGCCAAAGTCCGTCCATGCAGCAGCATGAACCCGAACTCCGTTCTTCCCAGGGTTGAAGAAATAACACCCCGGCGTATGGATTCACCACACTCGGCTTATCTATGCTTTCGAGGTCAGACCTTTGGGTCATTTCCATCTTGGGCTGTATTGCTGTGAATGTCTGTATTCAAGATTTTTTTGAATACCCATTTTCGATTCTTTGAGGGTCTATTTCTAGGAGTGGAATTGCTGGGTCATTCGGTGGTTCGGGGGTTAGCTCACTGAGAGCCACCAGATTGGTTTTGCCGACGGCCGCACCCCCACGTTCCCCAGCAGCAGGCAAGAGCTTCCGGTTCTCACCATCCTCTCCCATGCTCGTCAGCTGACACTTTTCTCAGTCGGCCTTCTTCATGTCAATGGAAAAAAAAAAGCGTTTTCAAGGTTGGGTTCTTGCCATGGCCTTGGCCTTTCACCTTGGTGCTGTGGCATCATTCTGTGGCATTCCGCAATGGAGCAGGGGAGCGTTAGCAGGAGAGCCGCTGTGTCCCTTGACCTGGGAGCTGGGTGTCGTGGGAAACCCACCGGGGGCATCGCGGACAGGGGATCCTTCGGCGTGGTCAACCTGGTGGGGCCGGGGGATGGTTGAGCTTCGGAGAAGAGCCTCTATCTGCTATCAGGTGCGTGGCCTTGGCAAGTAATTTCCTCTCAAAATGGCGTGGCAGACCCTGTTGGTGCCCACCCAGAGCCCCATGACATTGACTTCTGTTTGCTCTTGCATTGGGGCCGCCTGCCCAAGTTGGGGTCCCTCTAGGAAGAGGCGGAGGCCAGAAGTGCCCATCAGCTATGCCCCAGGGAGCAGCCCCCTACCAAGGGTGCCAGGGAGTTGGTGGATAACCTCGCAGCCTCCTGGTCGGGTCACTCTGGGTCCCAGAATTTGCTGCTGGGCTGGAGCTCCATTTGCCCTCAGTGATAACTGTAGGAACGAGGTACCTGATTCACCTGCCTCCAGTCTGCACATCCCTTCCCCACTCCCCGTAGGTGCCTCCTGTGCTCCCCTCTTGATTAAATGACTTGCACTCCGATCCTAGCCTCAGAGCCCCCTCCCTGGGGACCCTACCACAGCCTGTGGGTTCTGTCTTTCTGTCTCCATGGATTTCCATCTCCTGAGCTGACTCAGTGCTGGGCGCGTGGCGAGCCCTCGGTGGGCATCCGCAGTCCCCGTCACTGTTAATGGGGGTAGGAGTGGTTTGTAATTATCAGTCTGTTTTGGGGGGGGCGTATCCCCACAGGGAGAAGTGAACCGGAAACAAATATGGAGGCAGCTTAATTTTAGCAGAGTTCTTATCCTATTAACGGACCAGCAAGGTGCGTGGTACAGAATTGTGGGAGCTTATCTCGCGGCGGCAGCACCCAGTTTTCACAGACATCTGAGTTCCTCTCCAAAAGGCGTTTCTTCCAGGCTGAGTCGCAGGAGTAGACTTCCCCTTTGAGTGTCCCCCCCGGGGGGGGGGGGCGGGAGGGTCATTGGGTGCAGTCATACTGGTCTAGAAGCAACCATGGGCTTTAGATAATCCCCAAAGTGGATCACCAGCCTTGGAAAATCGAGATGTGGCCATGCTGCTTTATTCCCACCCTGATGGGGACACTCATGGGGGAGGGGGTGCGCTGAAACCCGCTGAGGGAGGGCACCAGCATCTGGAAGAGGAGGGGCAGTCAGTTCTGGAGAGGGTAGCTGCGGCTGGAGCTGAGTGCAGCGGTGGGGGGGGAGCGTGTCAGCCCCCCTTACTCACTCTCTACCCTTCCTTCAGAGTGAGAAGTGGTTCTCTTCGGACCAAGGGTTTGATACTGGCTCTTTTGGGGGGTGGCTTCTCCAAGAGGACAGGGTAGGTGGAAGGAGGGCTGAGGACAGGGACTACTAAGAAATGGATGGGTGGCCCAAGCTGGCCTGCCATCCTCTTGTCACCCTCTCTTTGCCATTGGCTGGCATGTGCTCAGGCGTACTCTGCAGTTAACTTGGGCAAACAGAAGGAGGATCAAGTTTCTACCTGAATGGGCTTCCCGCGTCCTAAATCCTTGAACTCAGAAAAACGTGGAGCCCCTGCCTCCTAGACATGTCTTCTCATCGCTACACATCGGCACCTTCCACTGTGAGGCCCAGAAACTGGAACCCCGTGGACCCTCCTCCTGGGGTTCCGGCTGACCTCTGCCCCAGGGCGGGGCCCCTGCTCCGCTCATCTGCGGGTCTGTCTCTGCACTGCCTCCCCCAATGCTCACCGTTACCCCCTGCTCCGCAAGGCGAGCAGTGCGTGTTGGGAGAGGAGGAAGACCAACATGCAGGGCTGGGTCCGAAAGCAGGTGGTGGGGGGGACTTTAAAATGCCTAGACTCCTGCCCGTTCAGAGTGCTCCCAGTTCTCCCTAACATCTGTGTGCTGGTTGTACTGAGTGCATCTTTTATTATTATTATTTTTTAATTTATTTGAGAGAGAGAGAACGTGAAACAGAGCATGAGCAGGGACAGAGGCAGAGGGAGAAGCAGACTTCCTGCTGAGCAGGGAGCCTGCGTTGGGGCTCCATCCCAGGACCCTGGGATTGTGACCTGAGCTGAAGGCAGATGCTTCACCGACCGAGCCACCCAGGCGCCCCTGAAGGCATCTTCAAACCCAGGCATCCAGCTCCTGCCCGCTGACCCTCCCGAGTGTCTGGGGCTGCGGCCGCCCTGGCTGTTTGCAGCTAGCCACCGACCGGTCTGCTCTCGCAGGCTGGGAATATGATGGTCGGGATGGCGGGGCTGAATTTTTCTGCACACTTTTCCTGAGTTCTTTATATAAATAGCCACTCCGCGGCCATCACCTACTCCATCACAGAGACCCATCGAATGAACCAGCCGAGCCCATAAATTATTGCACAAGTATTCCAAACAATAAAGGCAATTTTACTTACTGAACCATTAAATTTACGTACTTAAATTAGACCCAGCCAGACGTCGCAGGGGGCTGTCTTGAGGCTGGGCACACTGTGAGTTTTGGGAAGCGCTATCCGGCGGCCCCACCCCTCGCATGAAATCGATGAGATGCTTCAACTTAATCATCCTTACAGTCAGGTCTTGATTTAGGTGCTTAGCTGCATTTGACCTGCTGCTGGCAGTCACCCCTGTATCCTGGGCCATCCAGGCGGTAAGAAGTGAGCAGGAGGCTGGTGGGCAGCTGCAAGGCTGCTCGGGCCCAGGGCGTGTCATTGGCGGATCTTGTCTCTGCTTCCAGGATTTGCTGGAGACTCGCCTACAATTTTCTTTTATCTGGAGATCACAGCCAACGTCTGGGAGACACACCATGCCCCTGAGGTGGTCTCCCTTGACCCCCACGTTGAATCTGACATCGAGCCTGACCCATGACATCTTTTAAATATTTCTTGGATCTCTGCCTCTTTTCCATTCTTAACACCAGTGTTCAAGTTCAGGCACCAAACTTTGCCTCTTTCATGCTAATTCAACTCCAAGCCCTAGTTGTCAGAACACTTGATGGAAAATCTGAATCTGACCTCATCTGCCTCAGCTCAGAGCCCTTCATCGGGGCCCCATTGTCTCCAGGGAAAAGGGGGATGTTTGGGTGTGGCATTCAAGGCCCCTCTGTCCCACCCCCTTCAGCCATTCCAGCGTTTGTCTCCTGCCACTCCCTGCCTCGACCTTTAAAGGGCACTAAAACCAACCAGCTCAGCAAACCATGCCCCCATCCCTGGCCACATTCCTCCCACCTTTAACTTTGCCACAAGCCTCAGAGACTTGCGTATATAATGCCCTGGGCCAGAATGTCCTCCCCGCCTCTACTTTCTTGTGCACCTGGAATTCATCCTTTCAAACGGCTGAGATATCGGCTTCTCCCTCTCCTCCATGTACATTTCCAAATCCTCAGGTTGGGCTCAATGCCCCCAGGTAGCTCGTGGGCCTCCTGTCACTCACCCATGTATTTGGAACAACGGGTTAACATGCCTACGGACGGGTGGCACACCTATCTTTGTATCTTCAGCCTCCAGCAGAGTCCAGCAAGCAGGGATGCTCCAAGAAGTCTGCCAGGCAAATCCCTCGGCAGGAGGGGATGGTAGCCCGCAGGCTGCTCCCCGGGCCCTCCGGGCACCCGCATGCTCTGCCCCCCACCCCCGGGTCCTAGAACGTGTTTATTCTTCAATTGTGCACGAGTCAGACCCAGGACGACGCCGATGGAAAAACGTCCCCACGGTCACAGGGCAGGTACCCAGGTGCTTTTCCGGACACTGGTGGAAATTGGCTTCTAGTCGTAGGGGGCCTGGAAAACATCCAGGAGGCATCGGGAAGTTCCTCGGCTCAGCCTTACCTCTCCTTGATGCGTATCACCTGGGCATTTTCAGAAGTGGCTCGGAACAGACTCAGGATGTGTCGGGCAGGGGAGATCTGAACATCACCCAGGGGGGCACTGCTGATTGTTCGGGGTGGACCCCCACCGTCTGCTCCCTGCTGAGGTCATCCTCGTTCCCTTCCAAGGGGGGACTCGGGGGGCCCTGGCTCCCTGTACCTGTCTATCCCCAAGGTCATCACTGAATATCTATTCGTAAAGCGGAGTGTGTGTCTCCGCAGCCTCGTCTGAGCACCAGGCTTGCTAAACACTGACAATCCCCCGGAGGTGCTGGCTGGCACAGATGCTTGTGTGTGCAGGACGCCCCCCACCACGAGGCAGGAACCCGGCCTTCCTCTTCCGCTCCCCATCCGTCTTCGCCACGCCCAGGCCTGGTCTCTGCCTGGAGTGTGCGTCTAGCCTCACGGAAGCATAATGCAAGCCACATCTGGAATTTTGAACGTTCCAGGAGCCACACTCAACCAGTGAAAAGAAAGAGGTGAAATGAAATTCAATAATACATTTTATTCAACCCAGGGCGCCCTGCACATTGTCATTTCAACGTGTCATCAGCATAAAACTCGCTGATAAGAGATTTC